AGCCAGCCAATCATCTATCCAGGGGTATTGTCCTCCAGCTGATAGTGTTTGGGTAGTTTAAAAAGGGCGCGTTCAATGTGAAAGCCGAAACCGGAAGTGGATGTCTGCCTTCACTTCCGCGTTCCATTTGCGTTCCATATGCGTTCCAAACACGCTCCAAATGCGTTCCAAATACATTCACTGCTCTTTTTCAACTAGAACAGCGAGGAGCCATCAATATAAGTGATCATCAAAAGGACAAAGCCCAAAAGTGTTAAATGCATTAAATGTAATTAATCTCTAGAAGAAGAAAAGTGAATTAGTGCATGTAATATACAACAACCATGTTAAGATAGTTCATATGGAACTTCCCCACATATTATATATATGTGACAATATCATACACCATTAAATAGTGCCATGTATGTCTATTTAAAGTGACAAACATCTCATTATTCAAAAAATAAGAACAAATAATATATTCCTAAAAAAAAAAGTTCCCTCAATATCAATAATAATAATTTAAACCATATAACCTGCAAGGTACACCTAACTATATAATATAAAGATTTTTTTTATTTTTTTTTTATTATATAAATTATGAATTGTATTGATTAAAGACACTTCTTTTTCCCTATATTTAGACTGCCAGAGCTCCTCATATTCCCAAAGATACTTATGGAATAATTTACATAGAGGAGAAGAATAACCAAAAAATCAATCCAAGAAACACACCAGATCGATCCCAATATTCAGGCCCCTAGGTTCAAGGGTCTTTAGTTTGTGTATCCAAAAGGTTTCCCTTTGGGATAACTTTTTGATCCTATCACCTCCCCGCCAGTAAGGAAGGACATGTTCGATACCCATACACTTAAAATCTCTAAAGGAGAAGGAAGGACAATTACTGCAATGGGCAGAGACTGAATGAGTAACCAGTCCTTTGCGTATATTATTTAGGTGTTCCAAGATCCCGACCTTCAGGATACGTTTCGTGCGTCCCACATACTGTTTGCCACACGGACACTGCAGTAAGTAAACTACATAGTCCGTGTGGCAACCTATTAATGATTTAATCTTGAAAGCCTCCCCCGTGATATGACTAATAAATTCCTTAGTTCTCCCCATAGAGGCGGTGGTACATGCTTTGCACACATTACATCCCCTAAAACAACCCGATTCAGGGGATACATTAGAACTATTCATTTTAATAGCATAGCTAGGGGCTAGCATATTTTTAAAGTTCTTATTTTTCTTAAATATCACCATCGGGCGTTCAGACAAAGAATTACCCAAAATGGGATCCTGTTGTAATATGGGCCAAAAATCACTTAGGCTCCTTTTGATCTTAAAATGATCCGTATTGTATTGGGTGACAAAGGCTGATTTAAAATTCTTATTCCCAACAGTATTAGGAGGTTTATCCTCCAGGAGTTTGTTCCGTTCAAGGAGACCAATTGATCGAATTTCTTTTTCTAACGTATTCTTATTATAGCCCCTTGCACATAATTTATTTTTTATATGGGAAGATTGAATCTGGAAGTCTTGAGGGCGAGAACAATTGCGTCTCAATCTGGTAAATTGGCTCCGTGCTATGCCCCTAAGCCAAGGCTTATGGTGACAGCTTTGTTGATGTACAAAGCCATTCCCATCTGTTGGTTTAAAAAAACATTTAGTTTGAATTTGACCCTGATCACAAAAAATATCAAGATCCAAAAAATGGATCTCATGTTTATTCCACTCGGGGGTGAAGACAAGATTGTATAGGTTGGAATTTAAATATTGAACATAATCAGAAAAACTATTGGAGGACCCCTTCCAAATGATGATCACGTCATCGATATAGCGCCGCCAGAGCACCAAGTTCTCCCTCCAGTCATGCCGCGACCACACGAATAACCTCTTAAAGGGCTAAATGAGTTTAAGAAAAAAAAGAGAGGTTATTAACTGCTGAAACAAAAAAATGGTGGGAGATAGCCTATTTGGAAAATTATCTCAAGGAAGGCTTAATCCCACGTGGTCTCAGAATAGATAAAACACCGGCATTCGGATTGGAGGATGATCTCTTCTTACAAGAATGGGATGAAATCCTTACTAATTGCTCTTTTCAGCTAATACAACTTATAATTAGACACTCTAAAGAATCACAGAGTAAATTGGAAGCTGAGTTAATTGAACTTGACTCCAATCCTCCCATTAATACAGAGGGAAGGGATTTTAAGGAGAGGGATGAAATTCTACAAACAAATATTAAAAAACTTGATGAGAATATTGCTGAAACAAAGAATAGGAAGTATAGCAGGGATAAAGAGGACAAATTAACTAATAGTTTTTCCACTCTTAATAAATTAATAAGAAAAAAATCTCGCTATGTTCCTTTTAAGAAAATGATTCCAAGAACACCGAATAGAACAAGGAGTAACTCAAGATCTAGAATTAACTATAGGGCTAATTTTGCACCTAAGGATGGTAGATCTACTTACCACCCTAGAACTTGGAATAGACAGAGACCCACCCCCCCTAAAAGACCTACGTCAGATAGGGAGGGGAATGTAAGATCCCGTACTCAGACCACATATAATCAAACTGATACGTTTAGGGCTCCTACACAATTTAATGAACAGGAGATAAATTTTCAAGGGAGACACAGGGGCCCGAAAGAAAAATTCATTACCAACTATTTTCGTCCGAGAACCGATACTTGGGAACATCCCAACAGGTTCACCCCTTTATACCAAGATTCACCACACAAGAGGGTGAGAACAGAGGACTAGATCAGAGTCTTAGTCCTGCCACCCTTACCAATGAGGAGGAAAGGAGTAGAGGTATTTTTAATTTAACTGGAATTCCACTTACATCTGAGGAGATAGACCTACTCTCGAAAGGGATGAAATTTGCCCCTAATAAAAAGGCGAATGACTTTGACCTTTATATAGATCTTAAAAAGTTTATACGCTCTCTAACCATAAAAAGACATTTCCTCCTACATCCATCTACCATTGAGAGGGAAATAGATACTGTATTTGAAAGGGAAGACTATAGGTTTCAACCTAAATCTCATTTTTTTCCGGTTCAAAGTAAGGGCCCCTTTTTAGAAATTTTTGAACATATGGTTGATCAGGCTTTCCAATCTATTGCTAAAAAGAGAAAAAGTGGATCATGCCCCTTTAATCTAACAAAAAGGGAAGAAGCGACTTTAAAACATCTTATGGAAAGAGAGGACCTGGTGATCAGGGAGGCTGATAAGGGAGGAGGTATTGTGTTGATGACTATGTCTTATTATTTGAAGGAATCCCTTAATATCTTAGGGGATAAAAAAACTTATATTACTCTGCATAATAACCCTATGCCATTGTATAATTTAGAACTAAAAGAAATTTTGACTACGGCTAGAGACAATGGAATCATATCTTTAAAAAACTTTGATTTCTTATTTCAAAAAAGTCCAGTGATTCCGATTTTTTATTTCCTCCCAAAAACTCATAAACGCCTCCCTGATCCACCAGGTCGCCCTATTATCAGTCGAGTTAACTCGCTCACTGCTAATCTGTCCGCGTATGTGGACTCTTTCCTTCAAAAGTACGCCCAAGGGGCACCCTCCTTTATACGGGATACCAAGTCTTTTTTACAAGAACTGGACAGCATTGAGTGGGACCCTGAATACAGCTGGGCCACGCTAGACGTGACCTCTCTGTATACGGTAATTAGTCATTGTTTAGGATTGGAGTCTCTTGATTACTATATGTCCCAAGATCAGGACCTATCTCAAGGTCAAAAGGAATTTATATTGACCTCAGTAAAATTTATTTTGGAACATAATTTTTTCTTTTTTAATGATCAGTATTATCTACAGATCACAGGGACCGCCATGGGCACCAGGTTCGCCCCCAGTTATGCCAACACCTATTTGCGTAGATGGGAGGAATTATTCGTGTGGTCGCGGCATGACTGGAGGGAGAACTTGGTGCTCTGGCGGCGCTATATCGATGACGTGATCATCATTTGGAAGGGGTCCTCCAATAGTTTTTCTGATTATGTTCAATATTTAAATTCCAACCTATACAATCTTGTCTTCACCCCCGAGTGGAATAAACATGAGATCCATTTTTTGGATCTTGATATTTTTTGTGATCAGGGTCAAATTCAAACTAAATGTTTTTTTAAACCAACAGATGGGAATGGCTTTGTACATCAACAAAGCTGTCACCATAAGCCTTGGCTTAGGGGCATAGCACGGAGCCAATTTACCAGACTGAGACGCAATTGTTCTCGCCCTCAAGACTTCCAGATTCAATCTTCCCATATAAAAAATAAATTATGTGCAAGGGGCTATAATAAGAATACTGTGACGATGTGCCCTTCGCCACTTGGTACTGGAGAGGCCTGCTTGCCAGCCTCCTCCCCTGTGACTATGACTTTTTTTATTAAATTTTTTATTTTCATTACACATGTGGTTACAGTATTAACGACATACGCCACAACAGCGTACGTGTACATATTTAAACAGTAGCATCAACTGTAGCGCATTCTTGTTTGTGGTTACATGCACAATTTTTAACCAGTGGACCTTACAATTGCAACCGTTACATGTCTACAGTTCAGGTGTATCAAGGTTGAAGCAATTAGCTCTATATGCTGGCTTAAGTTTCACTTTTAAGGCGAGAAGGTGATTATGCCATGTTCTACATTCTGGCTGTATCATATTTAAAAAGCTAGATTTTCCACAGTAATATCGATATTATAATGGTGAGATACACTTAGAAGGAATTATTCAACCCGAACGGTCTGTACTAGCGCAGATATCGTGTTTTTACGTCTTATTGTGCCCTATGACTGTCCTGTTAGACGGCATGTCAACCACAAGTAATCCTAATTCTATAACCGGGGACTGGTAGGTCCCAACTTCTTAGCCAGGTCTGTGGCTTGTTTATTGCTGCGTCGGGGGAGAGGGAGGGTGAGGGTTGGGGGGTGAAGGAGGGGGGGGTGTATGCATTGCCATTGGGCAGTCTTGGAGATGGCCCTGAGCAACTCGAGTTCTCATGATGTTGTGGTATTGTCTATGTATTTGGACCAGGGTTCCCATGCGGAGGCATAGTGGGCGTATTTGTCATTCATAGAGGCTGTCCGTTCCTCCATTATTCGAATAGACTCGACTTTCTGGAGCCATTCCCTCACCGATGGTGCCTTAGAGGCCTTCCAATGTATTGGAATGAGGAGGTTGGCCGCCGTGAGCAGGTGGGTCGTTAGGACCCTCTGTGGTTTGGCGATGGGGTCTGAAAACAATAGGAAGAGCATTGTCTCCGGCTTGAGAGGTAAGTTCCCCCCTGTTACAGTGTTAATTATCTCCCTCACTCTTTTCCAGTAGAGTTGTATGGTTGGGCAGTGCCACCAAATGTGAGCTGTTGTTCCTCCCAATTGCCCGCATCTCCAGCATGTATCTGGCATGTGCGGGAAGATACGTTGTAATTTAGTGGGTGAGTAATGCCACCTGGAGATTTTCTTGTATGTGCTTTCCTGGATAGCAGTGCTGACGGAAGATCTCTGTATGCCCTGAAAGATGATACCCCAGCCCCCCTGGGTAATGTTAGTGGAGAGTTCCCTATTCCATGTTTGTGTGTAATGTGGCATTTGTCCCTTGAGCTCCCCTTGAATCATCTTATAAAAAATCGATAAGTGCTTGCTTTTGAGGGATTGGGAGGTACAATATAATTCATACGTTGTGAACGTCCGGGAGCCAGCTAGAAGTGTTCGTGTGGATCGTATGTAGTGTGTCAGTTGCGCATATTTGAAGATCTGCAGTGTCGTGGGTCGTTCTGATCCCATTAGGGATTCGAGTGGTTTGACTGAGCCGCCCTCTAAGACCGTATGGAGTCTCAGATAGGGCGTTTCTTGGGGTATTTTTAAGAAGTCAAAGGAGTGGTTCGGCAGCCCGGGTTGGAACTGTATGTTTCCTGTTAGAGGGTAGAGGGGGGATGGATGAGGGGATATTGAGGTCCCCAGTCTCATGAGCTTCCAGGTTCGGATTGTGGGTGTAATGGTGGGGTGACGGGAGTGGTGTGGGGATAGGGATGTAGATCCTGTGTTTAGCCATGGGATCCCTTGGAGCGGGGTTGTGAAAAAGGTTTTCTCCAGTTGCACCCATTGTAGTTGTGGGCGTGGGTTGGCCCATTCATATATCCTTGTGAGGATGGTCGCTTTGTGATATAACTCTATGTGTGGCATCCCCAGTCCACCTTGGTTTTTAGGTTTAGTGAGTGTGGCGAAAGCTATTCTGGGGTGTTTGTCTGCCCAAATAAATTTGGTGAAGAGGTTCTTGATCTTTTGGAAGAATGATTTGGGGATGTGGACTGGTAGTGTTTGTAAGAGGTATAACAGTCTTGGGAGCGTGTTCATTTTTAGGATGTTGATGCGGCACAGCCATCCAAAATGGGGCTTGCGCCATTTAGTCAAGTCTATTTCTATTTGTTGGAGGAGTGGGAGAAAGTTGATGTTGTACGTGGTGGCGAGGTTATGCGTTAGGTGTACCCCCAGGTATTTGATGTGTGCTGCAGCCCACGAGAAGGGGTATTTCTCCTTTAGTGTGGATTGCAGTGGCTGGGTTATTTTCAAGGGTAGGATCTCACTCTTGGTAAAGTTAACTTGGAAGTTGGATATCTTATTATATGTGGTTATCTCTTCTAGGAGAGGCTGCATGGATGTGCTGGGGTTAGTTATTGTAAAGAGTAGATCGTCAGCGAACGCTGAGATCTTGTATTCCTGGTGTTCCACCCGGAAGCCTGTGATATCTTCGTTATCCCTGATCCCCTGGAGGAATGGCTCCAACGTAAGGATGAAGAGGAGAGGGGATAGGGGGCACCCCTGTCTCGTGCCGTTCCTTATATGCACTGGCTTCGATAGTTGTCCGTTAATTTTAAGTTTGGCCGTGGGGGTGGAATATATAGCCCCAAGCCACTTGTCCCAATTTGGCCCAAAGCCCATAGCTTGCAATGTGGCTCTAAGAAGAGACCAGTCTACTCGGTCGAATGCTTTTTCGGCGTCGACCGAGAGTAGGAGGCTGGGTAGAGTGTGAGACTGAGACAAATGGATGAGGTTGAGAAGTTTTGTCGTGTTGTGCTTTGCTTCCCTTCCTGGGACAAAGCCCGCTTGGTCTGTGTGTATGAGGTTGGATAGTAGGGGGCGTAATCGATTTGCTAGAATTTTAGTGAAAATTTTTAGGTCTACGTTGATCAGTGATATTGGGCGATAACTTCCACAGTTTGTGGGGTCCTTTCCTGGCTTTGGCAATAACGTAATATGGGCCTCTAGAGCAGGAGTCTGTAGGGCTGGGGTGTCGGTGAGGAAATTAAAGGCGTCTAGAAAGGGATCTGCCAGTATGTCTCTGAATGTTTTGAAGTATTTGGCCGTGTAACCGTCAGGGCCCGGGCTTTTCCGCAGGGGCAACGAGCTCACTACTTTAAGGAATTCGTCTCTCGTCAAGGGGCTGTCTAGGGATTGCAGTGCTTCACTGGGGATTTTTTTATGCACCCTGGGAGTCAGGAAGCGTTCAATGTCTGTTGCCAGCGGGGGGGAGCTCCTGAGGTTATATAGTTCTGAGTAGAACTTGTGGAAGGCTTCCATAATATCTGGTAGGGTGTGTGATATGCCCTTTTCCGGGTGTTTAACCTTTGCTATGAAAGTTGTTTGTCTGCTTTGTTTTAATGCAGAGGCCAGGAGGCGACCGCATTTGCCTCCGGAATAGAAGTAGGAATGTTTGGTGCGTATTAGTGTGTGTTGGACCTGTGTGTTTAATATTTGTTGTAGCTCTGTGCGCTTTGCGAGCAATGCCTTATATGTCTGGAAGACGTCCTTACTGTGGTGGGCCGCCTCCAGGGCCCGTATGTCTTTTGTGAGGGATGCAATTTTATTGTCTCTCCTTTTTTTCTGTGTGGAGGCTATTGCTATGAGCTGTCCCCGAAGCACACACTTATGTGCTTCCCATGTTATTGGGGGGGAGGTTTGTTGGGAGGAGTTCTCTGTGAAGTACTGTTGGATGGAAGTGCGTATTTTTTCAGTCACTGTTTTGTCATTTAGTAGCAAGTCATTTAATTTCCATTGGTAAGTTTTTAGGGGAAGGGAGGGTATATGAACGGCAAGAGACAGGGGCGCATGGTCTGACCATGTGATAGGGCCGTAGGAGCATGCTGTCACTAAGTGCAATAACCGCTGAGGTAGGAAGAACATATCCAACCTGGAGTAGGTACGATTTGCATGTGAATAGTATGAGTAGTCTTTTCTATTGGGGTGACTTACTCTCCAGCATTCGTATAGTTGGGAGCTGTCTAAGAGGCGGGAGAAGCACTTGCGTTTTGAGTCTTCTCTGTTAGGAGTTGCCGATGTGGTGTCTAGAGCCGAGTCTAAAGACAGGTTACAGTCACCCCCCATAATGAGTATACCCTCTGCAAAGGTCTCTATCCATCTCAGGCATTTTTTGAGGGTCTTGCATTGGCCCGTGTTGGGTAGGTACATGTTTACAAAGGTAATTTTGTTTTGTCCCATGGTCCCCTTTACAAGCAGTAACCTCCCTGAATCGTCTGTTTTCTGGTCTATGAATGTGAAAGGTACCTGTGCGGAGAGTAATATGGCCACTCCCCGAGTCTTTTTCTCAGCGAAATGGCCATAATAGCTTGTGGGATATCTACTGTTCCTCAGACTGGGAGCTTTGTCTTTTTTAAAATGGGTTTCCTGGAGAAACGCCACGTCAGCTCTCAGTCTATGCAACTCGTTGAGGGTCAGGGAACGTTTTTCTGGGGAGTTTAACCCTTTCACATTGAGAGTGATTATGCGTAGGGTAGTCATTGTTGGTCGGTTATTTTAGGGGTGAATGGGGTAGGTGTCTTGTCTCCACCCAGCGCTTGGCCACAGACCTGTCTATACAGAAATATTTGGATATTTACAAGTAGTAATATAACAAACAAAACAAGTAAAGAAACTTTTCAGTAAACACTCAAGAACAAGAAAAACAAAAATTAAATAAAGTATATGAATATCACACACTTGGACTTATAGCCTGCACCTGGGTCTGGTGTTTAAATACCTATGGTAACTGTCTCGGGTGAGATGATCCGTCTCTCCGAGAGCCTATCTGTCACCTTGGTGTAGGCCTGAGGGGCCTAAGTTCAGATAATATCTGGTATAGGCATACGTGTGTGCATGCCCATACTCCTAGGAGTATTATCTTGGGGGGAGGGGGGAGAGGGTATATAATAGACCGCAAGTCTAGTTGTGGGTGAAGAGAGTGGTATGGCTAATCGCTATCCTGTTCGGTGTGAACCTCGCTTGATGTGGTACATTTAGCTTTGTGGGCGGGTGCGTATTAGGCTTGGGACCCCTGGGACAAGGCTTGGTGTATTGGGCTTTTCGGGCACCTTGGAGTTCAGGTGGGATACTCTTATGGCGTCTCTTTCCCCTCCGCCCGGTCATGTGGCTAAGGGCCTGTGTTTTTATTTGGTAGCCCTTAAGTGGGCATTTCGTATTTTGGGGGGGGGGGAGGGTTCTATTGAAGGGGGGGGGACATTGTGAGGGCCCTTGGGAGATAAGTTCCCGAGACTTTCGGGTATATCTATCTCGACTCTGTGGCTTGGGTCGATTATGGCCGCTAGGTAGGTGTAATAGGTGGCATATGGTACAGTGCCCCGGTATCTTTTACCTTGCGGTGGTTATCGCTAGTCTGCGCTGCTGGTTGTTTTTTTAGGCTAGTGGGCACCATGTCGTATTCTTCCCTGCAATATCTATATACATTTGTGTTAAGTTGTGTTAACCCAGGGTAGAAAGGGGGTGTCTAAACAGATTCAAACAATAACCATATTACCCGCCCTCATGAGAGTCTTTGGCGTGGGCAGAGGAATCTCCCAACTCGTCCACCTGTGCCTCGGAGGGATAAAGTCCCGGTGTCGTGGGAGTTAGTGTGTCTCCGCTTCGACTGGTTTTATCTCTGTTCGGGTCCCCGGTGAGTCCAGAGTATCACATGTGAGTGTCATCGGTGACTCTTACCCCATGTGGGTCCGACCCCTATGATAAAGCTTGTAATAGACAGTCACCTTTCTCCAATGCTTTTGTCCTTTCTGGGCTTTTTTCCTTTTTCTTTCCCTTTTTTTTTTTTTTTAAATTGAAATTCCATCATCTGCGAGTAGCTGTGGTGTCTTTAGCGTGCCGATTTTCTGCTTTTTTGGGTAGTTGAGTAGATTATTGCCTTCTTGTGGAAGGTGGTCTCGTATCCCCTTGGAATGTGGTGTCCGTGGCCTCCGTGTGTCTTTTCCTTGTCTCCTGCTGCCAGCGGGAGCGTTGGGGCGCCGGAGGTATCCCATGAGGTGGCGTCGGGCCATACCAGTCGCTGACGTGAGTCATGGGGAGGTCTAGTGCCCTCTGGAATATTGGGACATCCTGTATGGTGTGGATGTTGTGCTGGGTGCCATTAATCGTGGTGCTTAAGGCAAATGGAAAGCCCCACCTGTATCTGATGTTCCTCACCCTCAGCTGGTCCGTGATGGGTTTCAGTGAGCGTCTGGCTTGTAGTGTGATCCATGATAGATCTGGATAAATACTGATTTGGTCGTTATGGAATAGCAACGGCTGGGTGGAGTTTCGTAGCGCTGCCAGGATGTCTTCTTTGCATCTGTAATAGTGCAGCCGGCATATCACGTCTCTGGATCTGTCTGTGGGCAGGCCCCTGGGTCTTAGAGCTCTATGGGCTCTGTCAAATATTATAGTTGAGTCAGGAGCTCTGCCGAGGATTAAATTGAAAAGCTCAGTAAGTGTTGCTATGATGTCTTCATTGTCATTTTCAGGGATGCCTCTCACCCTCAGGTTATTCCTTCTCCCCCTGTTATCCAGATCATCTAGTGAGCGCTGTAATTCCGTTAGCTGGGCTGTGTGGGCTCTCATAGTTTCTTGGAGGGATTGTACCTGTGTGTGTGTGACATCCCTGTCCTCTTCCAGTGACCCAATCCTATCACCCATGTGGCGTATGTCTGCTCCTATGGCGTCCAATTTGCCTTGGAAGGACATCTCCAGCTTACCCAGCATGTTCGCCAGGTCTTGCTTAGACGGCATGTTACGTAGGAGATCTCTTACTTCTGTGTCCCCAGGTATGCCTGACCGTTCTGAGTCTGCCGGACTGGATGGTGGGGAGCTGTGATGGGGTGATTCCGGCGCCATGTTTGGGCCTACCCCGCCGGGCTGGAGTTCCGCATTATCGCGGAAGTATTTGGTGAGGGCTCCCGTTTTTCCCGCGGGCTGCTTACCGGAGGTGTGGGGAGTGGATGCCGCTCTTTTAGGGTGCCCCATGGTTAGTTTATCCGCCCGATGTCCGCGGATTCACACCGTCGGGAGAGGAGCTTGTTTAGCTTGCGGCCATCTCGTTCCGTGGTTGGCTCCGCCCCCTCGACTATGACTCTTTGATGTATTTGGCTTTAAAGCCCCTATTCTACCTTCAGACAGACTATTTATGTGGGCTGCTTTATTTATCCTATGTTTTGGTCACCCTGTACCCATTATAGGTGCAGGGTGTGTGTAATGTAATTGTTTATAGTGTGTGTGTGTGTACTGTGAAATGTATTGCCTTCTCTCCTGTACTGCTGAGGTTTGCTACCAACTAGGTGGGTTTGGCTATGGAGCTGGTCTAGTGCCCTCTGTTGGTAGCAACAGCAATATGCACTACCTGGATTGCAAGACTGGTTCATTTGCATATTGCTAATTCTGCAGGCAGGTGAGATATTTACTGTTAAATATTGTCTCCCCCCACCCCTTTAAAAATGTGCCATTGTGTTGTGATAAGTCACTGTGTGTTGTTTGATATGTTTTGACTGTTTGTGATTTTATTGAGGTTTCACAACAATGTTATTGTGGTGACCCTATTGGCTGGTCCAAAGGGAATAAAGGTTTTGACAGTTCTTCTTGATCCCTCTAAACGTAGCCTTGTCTCGTTATTGGAGGGAGCTGTTATAATCACACTGGGGATTGCTATGCTCTGCATGCTCCCCTGAGCTTGAGTCACTTAGCTTTTTTAAGAGCTTGTTCCTGACACGCTCTCCTTGGAGGAGGGGTCTTCACCACACAGTCCTGGATGCTGGAGGTTCGTACAGGGTGGAAGGAAGAGTTCTTTCCCACACAGTCCTGGAGGACAGAAGGTGATCCAGGGTGGAAGGAAGACGGCGAGACTCCAGTCGAGATACGGCGGTTGCGGAGTCTGCGGTGGTTGTGGTGTCTGCTGCAGTGCTTGGAGTCCTCAGGAAGCGCTAGGAGCATCCGTCAACGGAGGGTACTCAGTCGGAGTACAGGGAGCTCTGTTACAAATACGTTAGAAAAAGAAATTCGATCAATTGGTCTCCTTGAACGGAACAAACTCCTGGAGGATAAACCTCCTAATACTGTTGGGAATAAGAATTTTAAATCAGCCTTTGTCACCCAATACAATACGGATCATTTTAAGATCAAAAGGAGCCTAAGTGATTTTTGGCCCATATTACAACAGGATCCCATTTTGGGTAATTCTTTGTCTGAACGCCCGATGGTGATATTTAAGAAAAATAAGAACTTTAAAAATATGCTAGCCCCTAGCTATGCTATTAAAATGAATAGTTCTAATGTATCCCCTGAATCGGGTTGTTTTAGGGGATGTAATGTGTGCAAAGCATGTACCACCGCCTCTATGGGGAGAACTAAGGAATTTATTAGTCATATCACGGGGGAGGCTTTCAAGATTAAATCATTAATAGGTTGCCACACGGACTATGTAGTTTACTTACTGCAGTGTCCGTGTGGCAAACAGTATGTGGGACGCACGAAACGTATCCTGAAGGTCAGGATCTTGGAACACCTAAATAATATATGCAAAGGACTGGTTACTCATTCAGTCTCTGCCCATTGCAGTAATTGTCCTTCCTTCTCCTTTAGAGATTTTAAGTGTATGGGTATCGAACATGTCCTTCCTTACTGGCGGGGAGGTGATAGGATCAAAAAGTTATCCCAAAGGGAAACCTTTTGGATACACAAACTAAAGACCCTTGAACCTAGGGGCCTGAATATTGGGATCGATCTGGTGTGTTTCTTGGATTGATTTTTTGGTTATTCTTCTCCTCTATGTAAATTATTACACTATTCACTGTATTTACTGTATCACACTATTGTGTTTTTTCCTTTATATGTTCCCTCTATAGATTGTACAGCAGTGTAGCAAAGCATGGGAAGCCATCAGGCAGGCTTCCGATGCTGTGCATGTGCTGAGTGCCTCGAGGGGTCAAGGCACTCAGTGAAGAAATAAATAAATAAAAATAACAAAAATTAACCCCTTCCCTCCCAGACCCTCCATATGTACTTACCCGATTGTGGCCGTTCCCCCTACGGCGATCATTCTTCCTCTTCTATGAGGGGACTGTCTGACAACCCAGACAGTTCCCCCTCTGCAAATTAGGACCCCCAAGGACCATATTATCGCTCTAAAAAAGTGATTACATGACCGCAATAGGTGTTCACAGTGCTGCCAGCAGGGGGACTGCCTAAACTGACAGGCAGTCCCCCTGTTAGTGAAAAAAGTAAAAAAAAAGTTAAGAAATTAAAAAAGATAATATATGTATATGTATTTTAAATATATATATATATATATATATATATATACACACATATAGTATATCTATATATAATACGTATATATTTATCTTATAAATAACGTCATACTAAGTGTATTTTTTTATTAATATATACAGTGCCTTGCAAAACTATTCACACCCCTTGGCATTTTTTGTGTTTTGTTGCTGCACAACCTGGAATTAACATGAATTGTTTGAGGATTTGCATCATTTAATTTACAGAACATGCCCACAACTTTGAAGATTTTTTTTTTTTTTTTTTGTGAAGCAAACAAATAGGACAAAATAACAGAAAAAGTCAATGTGCATGATTATTCACCCCGCTAAAGTCAATACTTTGTAGAGTCACCATTTGCGGCAATCACAGCTCCAAGTCACTTTGG